CACAAATTCCAGTCAACTGTGAAATAACCCCACTCTCCCCTCCCCCCCTCCTCCTTCGTCCCCCCCCCCCTCTTAATGCTCCTCATGTACCAGGATACTCGAACGCAACAATCTCTCAGGCTCCATTCCAGAGGCAATCAGCAGCCTCAAGCAGCTACAGGAAATGTGAGTGGCGATGGAGTGGGCATGCAAGGTGCTGTGGCGGGGAGTGGAGAGGAGTGATTTAACGTGATGGCATGCTACGTCCCTGCCGAGGGAGTAAACGGGTGGGGGTAAGTAAGAGGCTGAGAAAGAGGGTGGGAGGAACCATCTGGAAAGGAGCTTGAGATAGATAGAGTAGAGTAGAGTAGGTTTACCGGGTTGGAGTTGTGAAGTAGGCTGTGGAGCTCCTCCTTCGTCCCCCCCCTCTTAATGCTCCTCATGTACCAGGATACTCGAACGCAACAATCTCTCAGGCTCCATTCCGGAGGCAATCAGCAGCCTCAAGCAGCTGCGGACGTTGTGAGTGGTGATGGAGTAGGCATGCAAGGTGCTGTGGGGGGAAGTGGAGTGGAGTGGAGTGCTTCAATGTGAAAGCATGCTAGGTTCCTGCTGAGGGTGTAAACGGGTGGGGGAAAGTAAGAGGCTGAGAAAGAGGGTGGGTGGAACCATCTGGAGAGGAGCTTGAGATAGATAGAGTAGAGTAGGTTTACCGGGTTGGAGTTGTGAAGTAGGCTGTGGAGCTCGAGGCTCGAGGCTCTTCTAGGTAGATCACGAATCAGTAAAGAAGGATGGGTACGGAAGGGAATCCGACGACATTATGCAACGAGAAAAGTTGACACCTCCAATTGGTGGGTTGAAGATTTCAGAATTTAGGGTTCGATCGTGTTTGGGTGAGGTTGGGATCTTGGGCTAGCACCGAGCCTACGAAAACAGTTACTACACTGGATCGACATGCACCAGTGCAGACTGTGAGATTGTTGTCTTTCTCTTACAGGGGGGTCAGCGCGTAGAGGGTGAAACTGTGAGTGAGATGATGGGTTGCGTGAGTGAGCAAGGAATCCAAGGAACAAGTGAGCGGATGAGTGAGTGCAGGAGCGAGTGGAGGAATCCATCTGGGCTAGTAGCTAGCCAGGACGATCTGCCTGTGTAGAGTCGAGTCTCTTCATCTGACAATGAGCGAATGAACCGGATTCCAACACCACTCCCTAGATCCGTGTTTCTACTATCCAGTACTTTGTTTCCACGGTCAGCTACCGCACATACTGCAGCTCTTGCTGTAGCTTGTTTGTGCCACCCCATCCCATCCCATCCCATCCCATCCCATCCCATCCCACCCCATCCCATCCCGTCCCATCCCATCTCGTCCCGTTACATCCCATCCCATCGCATCCCATCCCATCCCATCACATGCCACGGCAGGGAACTACAGGGCAACAGCCTGAGTGGCACCATTCCCGCCTTCATTGGCCACCTCACCAAACTTCACATCCTGTGCGCCCATCCTTACGTCACCTTAACCTTCCCTTCTATCCATTGTCAGCAAAATTTTGAAGCGTACAAAAATTCCAGCCAGCTGTAAAGTCCCTAAAATATATATTATTTTTTTCGACTTTGTATTTGTATGTATATTATATATATTAATTCAGCATTGTAGTTGTAGTTTTTCTGGGTTGGGTGTCACATCAACATCCCAACCTTACCCAGGTGTAACAAAATCTTTGGGTACGTTCCTGGCTCGTGTCAAGCTTCGGGCCGTCCCGGGAAGACTCGAAGCTTTGGGTTAAACTTCCGATCAAACTTTATGTCTTCCGAAACAGGGGCAGTTTTTGGCCAAATGACCCGAAGTTGGTTTTAGATGACCCAAAGTGGACTCAACTTCCGGTGAACTCATTAGGGATTGCCTCTGATTCCTTGCCCATCCATTCTTCTACGTGTTTTTATGATGTGCTTAAGATCCGTGAGCTCATTACCTCCAGTTCTTATATGTTATCAGAGCTACTCAATCGCACACACGAATCCTGATCCTCATCTTATCGTGGAAGCTACCTACACGTTCCCTAGTGAAGTCTTTCAACTTCTATCACGTGCCACATTTTTACTTCAACACCACAGCTTTTCTTTTTGTTTGGCCGAAAGTGTTTCCCACGTCAATCTTCTCACCGTCAATTTTGGTGGTCTTATTATATGACATAATTAGTCCTAATCGATCACTGTTTGATAGCCTTTGTTGCAGTGAAATATCCACACTCCAAACTTTCCTGTTGCGATTTACCCTAATCCTCAAACCCCACCACGTCAACATCTCTCCCCTTAGCGACAGTAGTGAGACAGTTGTGGCAGAATAGGGTGTAACGAATGTGGTTGTGAAGCTGTGAAGCTAAGGGTTAGGGTCAGAGAGGCGGTGGGGGGTGGGGGTACGTGTAGGGTTAGGATTAGATAGATTCAGCCCTAAATTGTCGAATTTCCCTACTTTTACGGATCGAGAAATCCCTCTCATGCGACATTTTTTCTACTTTCGCGGATAGACATGTCAATTTCGCCTCTTCTTTAAAGCCCGCGGCCCAAATTGCGGACCGCGTGGGTCAATTTTTTAAAACTTGACGAAGTGGGCTGTGCAAGCTTTGAAAAGAAGCGCAGCTGCAATTTGGGACTTTCGAAATCTGACACCCCCACCAGGGTAGAAACGAGGGGCTGGCTGGGTTTGGCGAAAAAAAAAAAAAAACAAAAAAAAAACAAAAACACACGATTAGGGATGAGCAAGGGGCGAACACGAACATGTTCGTGTTCGCCCCTACACGAACACATTCGTTTGCCGAACCGAACACTGTTCGGTTCGGCGAACACTTTAAGCAAAAACAGGTGTTTGCCGTTCGCCTGTGAAGGCGTGTTCGGGCGAACCTCGAACACGTTCGTGTTCGTCGCGGGGCAAATTGCAGCAGCGGCCCGAACACGAACGTGTTCGGGCGAACCTCGAACACGAACGTGTTCGGGCGAACCTCGAACACTGTTCGGCGAACAATTTAAGCAAAAAAAACAAACCTGTTCGGTTCGCCTCGAACGTGTTCGAGGCGAACCGAACAGGTGTTCGCCCTTGTGCTCATGTCTAATGGGACATGGAGAGAAGGAAAGAACCAGAGGTGAAGGGGAGAAGAGGAGGAGAGGCAGAGGAGGGGAGGAGAAGAAGAGAGAGGTGAAGAGGATAAGAGAGAGGAGAAGAGGGAGAGTAGAGGGTAGAAGAAGAAGGTAGAAGGAGAGGAGACGAGGAGAGGAGAATAAGGCAGATTTGACGCTGTGGAAAAGTGTAGCTGAAAGGAGTTGTTTTTGAGGAAAACACGTCCACACCAGCAGGCGGAATCGCCATCCACACAACGTGCCTCCTCTCATCTCATCTTACCCACCCTCTCAAACCCCCCATGCTTGGCAGAGAGAGCAGGTGGAAAGAAGGAATGGAGAGGGGGGGCTGGAGGGAGAACAGGCGCACAGGAATTTGAGTCCTGTGAGGTGGGCAATGGAGGCGGGAATGGTGCCACTCAGGTTATTGCGCTGGAAGTCCCTGCCGTGGTATGGCATGGGATGGGATGGGATGGGATGGGATGAGATGGTGTGGGATGGATAGCTAGGGCAATAACTCACAGGGCACTCGCTCACATATTTCACTCCCTTTATCGCTCAGACTCACTCCCTCACACACGCACTCGCTCACATTCTCACCTGTAAGAACCTAAGGTGGAATTGATACAGAAGGTTATGAGTTTAAAGCTCTTAAGTATACATGTGCAACGAGGCGAGCTTTGCGACCCCCCACCCAATATTGACGCTCTCCAGAGCGAAAGACCTGGTCTGGATATGGGTATATTTATTTCATATTTGCAGGGTGTCTTATTAGGCAGCAGGTTTACAAAATTCGGCATGTACATGCTGGTATAGGGCAACGAGCCAAGCTGCTCGGACGAGCTTTGAAAAAGCTCGTGACAAGAGAAGAGTCAGGAGCTTGAGTTGCCCCTGAAAAAATTCGGACGAGCTAAACTCCGCTCGTGACATTGCTCGTATGAGTGTGCACAAGGACGAGCCGAGTAAAACTCGGCTCGTTGCTTTGCACATGTGTACTCTTAAGTACATCAAAAATAGGCAAGAATGGATGTCGGGGGTCGGCAGCAACTCCCAATGGGAATGGCTGAAATCTGCAATGTCAGTTGATCACATTTAGGCAAGGTTCAAACATACGGTTTCCGTAAAAGAACGGTCCGTTTTTTACAGTCGTATTTTACGGTCAGATTCCAAAATTTTGACCGTGTTTTTGTTCGATTTTCTTTTCCTGCCCAAAAAACTCCAGCCTTGCTACCAACCACCTCTAGGAATATGAGCACTTCTAAAATTCCTAACTGTCAGGCCTAAAATGGTCTAAAACGGATCTATGCCTAAACAACGGCTCCCCCTACAGACCACACGGAAACATAGACTAATACAGGCAGGGGTCCCCCCTTGTGCGGATAAAATATCCTTTGAAAAGCGAGGGCGAGGGAAAAATACCCGCGAGTATTTTTTACTCACCGCATTCTTGACCTTAGTTGGAATATACGCTCAAAACTGTTTGCGTTTAGCGTATACACGCTAGCGTGTACACGCAAAACGCTATACGATAGCGAATACGCTATACGCTCTCCAATTTTTTTTTAGGTCAGCCCGGCCAGAAAATTTCAACCTATACGGTTCGCTTCGGAATTGCACGACGAAGTCATTGGCGGGCTCAGATTGCACGTCCGCGCAGTGTGCTAGCGTGGACGTGGGTTGAAAGTTATTGTCGCGATTGGCCAGTCAACTTTCTCGAGTCGCGCTTGCACGATCCTTCACATTTGGGGGGTCACACTGAGTACCGCATTCAAACCCTTCGCATCCACCAACTCTCCAACCTCTCTTGCCCATCTTCCCATTCCCACAATCAACTCGCTATTTAACACCCGCACCCCCATCATCTAATTCATGAGTTCTTCTCCCGCTATCCGTAGCTCAGAGTTCCTATGTCGACTACTACTACCTCTCCTCCAACGCCACCGTCAGTTAACACCGTTGGCAGTTCGCAAACTCTTCTAACCGAGGCACGGGAGTATCTCGCCGACGTCGACCATGCCGTCTTCAAGCACTTCCACATCATCAAGAGGAAGGAGGGGAAAGCTCAGCTGTACGAGTGCAAGTTCTGCAACAACGTCTTCACTGGTGCTGCCATCCGATGCGCGCAGCACTTCACGTCGTGGAAGGGGATGAAACGCCGTGAAGTGGCGCTTTGCAAGGATGCGCCGCAAGATGTGCGTCTGGCTATGCGTGCGAAGTACGAGGCAGCGGCTGCCGCGGCCGAAGAAAAGAGGCGGGCTGCAGCTGCTGCGGTTGCCGCGGTGAAGGCCAACGGTGGGAAGCGGGCGCGCATCACCGATTACCTGGAGGGGGATGCGGCTGCGCGAAAGAGAGTGGCGGACGAGGCACTTGCGCTTGCGTGGGCCGCCCTCCACATCCCCGAGCACCACATTGACCATCCTCTGATGGTCAATGCAATCAACCTCGTCTCGCGCGCCGGCTGCGACTACGTCCCTCCCAAGAGGAAGTACGTCGGCGGTGCTGGCCTTGTCGCGTGCCGCGAAGGAATCGAGCAGGGATTGGTGGGCATTAAGGCGAGCTGGAAGAGGACGGGCGTGACGGTTTCGTCCGACATGATGACGGACCGCAACGGCAGACCGCAGGCGAATGTGCTTCTCGTGAATGATTCTGGCGCCGTCTTCACCGACTGTGTTGACTGCCACATGGAGAAGAAAACAGGAGGTTACGTGGCGGGGATTCTTAGGCCGGTGGTGGAGGAGGTGGGGCCGGAGAACGTTGTGGCCTTCTGCATGGACGGGGGGTCGAACTATGTGGTGGCGGTGAAGGAACTCATAAAGGAGTGGCCGCACATTCACGATGTGCCGTGCGCCACCCACGTAATGGACCTTCTCATGGAAGATGTGGGGAAGATGGGATGGGCTAAGAAGGTCGTCGGTAAGGGAGGGGAGTTATCAAGCTTCTGCCGCAACCACCATTGGACCCGAGGGTACCTGCGTACGGCGGATTTGGTGGAGGGGAAGGTTCTGCAGGCGCTGAAGCCGGCTGGAACCAGATTCGGGACCAATTACATAGTCATCTCCCGCCTATGTAAGTTGCGCGCCAGCCTTACCAGCATGGTGCTGAGCGACCTGTGGAAGGAATGGGCGGTAGGGGACAGGAAGCCAGCATGCGAGAAGTTTAGTGCGGCGATCCTTGATGCCGCATGGTGGAAGACGGCCGAATTCTTCACTGCCCTCATGAAGCTGCCCTTCAAGGCGATGAGGCAGACGGACGGGGATGCTGTGGGGATGATGGGGAAGATGTACGATGTGATGCTGCAGTTGACGGAGGACATGGGGGACATGCTGGATGAGGACGAGGAGCAGTTGAGCAGTGTCGATAAGACTCAAATCCGCCGCATCCTCAAAAACAGGTGGGATGGCAGCCTTGCATGCGCCATGCATGTCGCTGGCCGCATCCTGAACCCCGCCAATCAGGAAGAAGACATTTTCGGCACTGATTCTGAGTGCACGAAAGTCTTCAAGGCTTTCATTAGCCAGCATGCCGAGTTCCTCGCGAGCCGCGGGGATGGGGAGGATGACGCGTGCGACATCTTGCTTGCTCTGGGGGACGGGCTGAGAATGTTCCTAGACATGAAGGGTTCATTTGGGATGCCGGAGGCCGTGGCACAGAGGAAGCTGGTGAAAGAGGGAAAGTACAGCATGGTGAAGTGGTGGCAGTGGAATGGGACTGATGCCCCCAAGCTGGCGGGGCTCGCCGTAAGGGTGCTGTCTCAGCCCGTGTCGGCCTCACCTTGTGAGCGTGGATGGTCAACGTGGGAATCCGTCCACACCGCACGCCGAAACCGGCTCGGATCCGCCAAGTGCAAGGACTTGGTCTTTGTTGCGCACAACTGGAATGTTGTGCGCAACTGGCACACGCGCGCCGATGTCTTGCCACATGTGGTGCCCAGGATTGGGGCGGAGCCAGCGATCCCGGCGGGATACAAGGGGCTGGAAGACGAGACGATGGGAGAGGAGGAGGAAGACGAAGACGACATCCTCGAAGACGAGTACGATAACTAGAGGGGGCAAATGTGGGGTGGTATGGGCGGCTAGGCTTACGAGTCTTAGAGAGAAGGGAAAGGTCATGTTTGTAGGCCTTGTTATAAGTGTAATGTGGGGAAAAAAAAAAAAAATGAAACTTCAGCCCCCAATCCCCAACCCCATACAGCCCCCCCCCCCTCCCCCAGGGTTTTTTTTACCCTGCCCGGGAAATGTTTTTTCCTGCCCAAAAAAGCGGATTCCCAAAGCCGACCCCTGTGCGACGTCGCTGATTCAACACCGTAGATTCTAACGACACTTCATGTTTCTGGGTAACGAAATGTTGGCCAGCTCAAAGATGGAAGTTTTGCATCCGCTTTCTTCCAACTCATGAACCCCCCCAACGGCTCTAAATCCCACTCCCTCTACCCAACCCACCCCAACCCAACCTTTCAAACGTTTGCAAGCTAAGACTGAGCTAAGATCCAGATCTCGCCCGTACCTATTCTAGGTAAGGAAGCTTGTAATTTGAAAATGTGTTTGTCAACCGCATAGCCAACCCTTGTAATTTGAGCTTGCATCACCAGAAGGGAGTGATGGGGTTGGTTGGAGATAGTTAGACATGAGCACAAGGGCGAACACCTGTTCGGTTCGCCTCGAACACGTTCGAGGCGAACCGAACAGGTTTGTTTTTTTTGCTTAAAGTGTTCGCCAAACAGTGTTCGAGGTTCGCCCGAACACGTTCGTGTTCGGGCCGCTGCTGCAATTTGCCCCGCGACGAACACGAACGTGTTCGAGGTTCGCCCGAACACGCCTTCACAGACGAACGGCGAACACCTGTTTTTGCTTAAAGTGTTCGCCGAACCGAACAGTGTTCGGTTCGGCAAGCGGATGTGTTCGTGTAGGGGCGAACACGAACATGTTCGTGTTCGCCCCTTGCTCATCCCTATGTCCCATCATCCACCCCTCTTAAGTGAGCTTGGCAACAATCGCCTTGCAGGGACGGTGCCTGCTGCAATCACCACGCTCACTAATCTCGATTACCTGTCAGTGTTCCCTCCTCGTTCGTCACTACAGTCAACATGTCATCGCTGAGTGGTGGTGTGTACATCCTATGCACTCGTCTCCAAACAAGAACCAGTGCTACCCATCTTGCTGTGTAACGGCCTTCCTACTGCCTTCAAGGGTGCCAACCTCGTCAGCCTTTTGCAATGAATGCCCTCCACGCGCTTCCTCCCATGCTCGCTCCGCCGTGACACCACTTACTCTCCACTTCCCTCTTGTGTCAACACATCTTTTCTGTAGATCCATCTTACTTATTCATTGATGATTTGGAATCACTTTCTGCTAAGCGCCCTTTCCATCCGAATCCATTGTGTCTATGCCTAACCAGTGATGATAGAGGAATCAAATGCTAAGCACGTCAGCTGATTGCACCCAGTGTTGACAACAAAGAAAGTGGAATCGACGGTTCTAAAGTCTATGTCACACAGCATGGACAGAAACAACCATCCCATTCATTACGCACTTGCTACTCCTTTCCTATCACTCCCTCTTTCCCGTCACTCCCATTCCCCGCCACTCCTCTTCCTTCCCAATCTTCCCCTTCCGCCTTCGCTTGCATCACAGCGACTTGGGGGGCAACCATTTTGTGGGAGAGGTGCCCTCGTTCGACTATACGGACCCTGTCGTTTCGTTTACTGCGGACCCTTTCAACGACAACAACAACGACAACGACGACCTCACCGCCTCGGAAAGTCCTCTCCCTTTCAACGCTACCAGCCTTGACAAACCTCTACAGAAGTACACCTTGTGTAAGTTCCTTTTCGACCATAAGCTCTTTCAGGCTATCATAAGAACTTGTATGTCCTGTCCTACGAAGCAGCCTGCTTGCCAACATGCCTGCTCGCTCTCCTCCAATACCCAACACTCTTTTCCAATATGCTGCTTCTTTACATGCATCACCGCCAGACACCCTCCCTCCCTCTCCTCATCCACCATACAGGCACCAACCCACCCTGTGAATCACCAGGCCCTGCAGTCGTGGGAGTGGCGGTGTCTACTCTTCAGGCACCTCAAAATCTGCTGCTGCTGTTGATGCTTCCACCGGCGGTGCTGCTGCTGCTGCTGCTGCTGGCCTTCACACTGCCAAAGTTTCTGAGGCGCCTTAAGAATCGCCCCCCCACACGCTACTTCTTTTCAAAGAGAGCCCTTGCTGCCCGGCAAGCTGCCATGGGTGTGGAGATCACTTGCTAGTGCCCGATTTGAGCACGGGATTGCTGTTGTTACCGTAACAAGATATGCACCTTCGATTACCATATTGGCATGATGTCATAATACGGTAGCGTTGTTAAGTCGCATACTCGATATTTATTCTCCCTTGCGTTTGTTTACGAGCAACATACCTAACAGAAAGCATGGCTTCCTCGAGTGCCCGTATCCCTCCTCCGTCCATACACCAATCCCAACACTGCATTCTTGGGCCACGATCACACACATTTGCTGGTAGCTATTGACACCGACGAGCCCAACCAGCAAGACTAGCGCATTCTCTTCTCTGTCACCATCACCCCCTGAAAAAGGTCTCACCTTCACCAATTTCTCGGTCCATTGGCGTGACAAGACAATGCTAAGTTCCTTTGTCCTCCAAGCATACCTTCACTCTACAGGCGTCACGAGTGTAAGGTTGTTAGGAGTGGGGTATACCGTGATCTCCCGGTTAAAAGCCCCGGGGGTCTTATCCTAAATGTGCTTGAAATGGGTTGTGGGGTCTTATGTAATGGCATATAGTGCATAAGACCCCTGGACATCTATTAATTACTAAAAAATGGATTGTGTAGTGCAGTGTTGAAGAAATTCGAAAAATTCTGTACCGAATTTTGGATTCCTTCACAGCGCGGAAATTCATTCCCTGATTCTCGCACTCGAGTCTCCCTGATTCCTTTCCGCACGTTCAGAAATGCCGAATAATGACAGGCACGTCAGCATTTCTTGCTTGAAGGGCGGCAAAAACGGTGGATTGATGTGGCATCTTGACTCCCTTGACCAAAAATTCGCCTAACAAAGTGAATTTGGTGGTTTTTTGTGTGACTCGCTAACCAGCTCATGAACTAACACCACTCTGAATAGCCTGAGGGGGGGTCTTATAATGATTTGGGTCAAAAGACGGGTCCTCTCCAGGACTGACCTAATAAAAGACCCCTGGTCCGGATAGAAGACCCACGGGGCTTTTATGCGGGGGGGTCTTGTAACCGGGAGATCACGGTAGTTACGAATTGTTCCAAGGTTACCTATGGTACTGTAACTGTGATTCCCTCACAACCTTATGTCCATAGGATTACTTTCAACCTTCGCGCTTGCATGGAGTATATGATGTTGGTACGTTTTCCCCAGTATGATGAAAATATTAATTCCATAAATTCTTCGCCTTTTATCCAAATACATATATCGTCAAAGTCTTCGAGCACATGTCATGCCAGACTACACATAGCTAACTAGGCCAAATGGACTAACATGTTGAAGTTTGATGAAATACGGACAACACCCTATGTTTGGTGTTTCACTGTAACGCGTTCATCTCTGCACCGTCACGCTTTCCCCCACCAACCACACTGGAAAGTCCAAGTCTTCAATTTCTTTGGAGCTTTTGATTCAAAGAACACCGACGTTGCTGTGCCATTCATAGCACTGTTTAGAACGTTTCTGGTCCTTGAAATTGGTAACATTCGATGAAGAAGCCAATATACCGTGCGCGAGCTATCCCTCACGGAGAAATATCCCATTCCCTGCGTTTCAATCAGCGCTGTTCTGCGCTGGTTGTGCGCGCACATCCTTCCGCATTGATTGCACAGAATCAGAATTTCGCATTACAGTCGCCATGCAACTGAATTAGTACACGAGATTCAGAATCTCGCGGTCACCAGTGACCTTAGCAGCAGCAGTTAGTAGCTTAGTAGTGTTTTTTTTCTCAAGAAGCTCAATCTCCTGCCCCCGCCCGTGCAATGTAACAACCACGGTCCTTATAACAACGGGCAACCGTGTGTTGATGAAAATCCTCCTTGTATAATCCTTATAAAATCAAGTTACACATCTCTAATATCTCTAGCTAATCCCACCAAGGGATAAACAAGCCTTAGCTAAGCTTGAAGGATCTTGAGAGAGTAACTTGTAGTTGTTGGTGAAGCTTTAGCAAGGAGGTAGGTAGCTTCTTGTAGAAGTTGTCTTGAAGAAACCACAATCTTGGTTGTGTAGGAGAGCTTGTTAGAGAGAGTAAACACTTAGATTGTTGGAGTTGGAAAAGTGAGGAATGAGCTTGCTAGCTCCTACCCCTTCCACAATACCCCTTGGGGGCTCGTCCCAACCATGGCTTCCATGGTTGGGGAGCTCATAGGCTTGGAGGCTAGGTGGCATTTTGTTTGGTTGGATTTGTAACAACAACTGGCAGATTGTGATTGATTGGAAATCCAACCATTCAATCCTCACTTTCCTCTCCATCCCATCCTTCCCATCTCTCGTAGTTCAATTTTCGGTCGAGAGACTTTTCGACATTGACTACGAGCATCTCGTTAGGTGCCTAGGTAGGTCGCACGTTACACTCCTCCCCCCTCAGGTGGCAACGTCCTCGTTGCCTTGAGGTGCTTCTGAGGACGAGCGCTTCGGGCACGCCGTGTCACATTACGACCAGGGTCAACACCATCCACTAGCTGTGCGGCAGCTCGTCGGGCCAGATCTGTCATGTATGACTGAACTGCAGTTTCAGTCAAATGCTCTTCTGGCTCCCAAGAGTTGTGTTCAGTCCCATAGCCTTTCCACTTGACGAGGAACTCTCTTACTGTCTTGCGACCGCGCTGTCGATCACGATGCATTAGCACTCGTTCGACTTCATAAAACAAATCCTCCCCCAGGACGATCGTTGGTGGCGGCAAGTTCTTGCTCTCTGCAACGTCCTTGTTCAACAGAGACACATTGAAGACGTTGTGAATCTGTAAAGTGTGAGGTAGCTTAAGTTTGTAAGCCACCACACCAATACGTTTGATCACCTC